TTTTCGTTTAATTACGCATTACTGTATATTTAAAACAAGAAGATAACAATTCTGTGCCATGTTCATATACTTCCGCCTAAATATCCAATTAAAGTAGATAACATTAAAAGAAATCCATACGTAATAATCCTTCTTGAAGATTTCATTGGAATTCGTTGTCGTAATTTATATATTGTGCCGTTTGATACTAATGTAATTGTGCTGCCTAACATTTATTATTATTGTATTTTATATTGCAATGAATTGTTAAAAAAGTCAATACAGATTTAATACTTCAGTTACAGGTTTCTAGCTGTAAGGAAACTATATATTTGGTATCGAAAATCTTACACTTGTTGAATTACGTTTGTTACGTTGTAAATGTAAACCGATAATTATTATGAAAGTACTGCATTTTTAATTGCGAGGGAAAGTGTGTAGCGGAGTAGTAGGGGGTGTCACGTGGTCGTAGAGCGAGAGCAATATCATGGAGGTCAGTTTAGGCTAGTCGATAGCGATCAGTACTTGTCATCTGTATTGGTCGACGAATTTATAATATGTATTTATGTTAATATTTTAGCGTTTATCTATTTAAATAGTCGAACGAGTCGAAAGTTTTTGCTTGTAAATACGTACCGATCTGGTGTTTTGAGTGAAATTCGTAGAATAAACATATACTTGAGAACTTTGAATGGAACCAATAAAGATTCAATTGAATTCGTACCAATGTAAATTCGATGGGGAACGATAAGATTACATGAGACAGTTCTGATCTGTGATGATATGTAGGTAATATACTTGTCAGTAAACAAAAAATATGGAATAAACGAAAAATGGTCGTGAAAGACCCCTGCGGGATCGTGTGTATCATAGTCACGTACATCGCTGTCTTCTATGCAGACTACGTCGTCGTACGTTGGGTTATCCTGCATAGTTTACAAGACAGGTGCATCTAAATAATCATTTTTCTGTCTATCTATTTGTGATCTTATTTAATCGTAATTTTATACACACACATATATATATATATATATATATTTGTACGAAAGCTAATTCTTCATAAACTTATACATCGATATAGATATATGTGTTTCAATTTTTTAATATTATTCAGTTTAATTTATTATTAGTATAAAAATGGAATGTTTATTAAATTTTCTTGCACTATCATTGTATAATTTCTAAATGCAACTTCAGGCAAAAGCGCACTTTGTTTATCTTAATTAATCTGTTTTTTATATATTTATTGTGTACAGTTTATGGGGTCCCTTTCATGTAGCAGCTTTCAACACTGTTGTGTTATTATTGATAATGTCACATTTGAAGGCAGCCTGCAGTGACCCTGGTGTTGTGCCACTGCTCCAAAGTCGTATGGACTTTTCTGATATTCATACAGATAATCCAGATACAAAGATTGAATGCGATGAAAGAGACAGTTGGACTGTTTGTACTAGATGCGAGACATATAGGCCTCCTAAGGCACGTCACTGTAGAATTTGTAATCGATGTGTTAGGAGAATGGATCATCACTGTCCATGGTATGCTATAATTTATAGGAACATAGAAAAAGTACTTAGTTCTGTAGTAAACAAAGATATCAGTCTTATTTGAGGATTACGTAGCTTTTATTAACGTTAGCAGTACCTAATAACGATTGCTATTTATCATTCTCTGCATTAGTTTAACAAGATCACTTATTATTGTGTCTGAAATTATTTTAAAAGAATAGCAAAACATTAAATACATTTTATGCGTAATACTCTAATCATTTTTTAATGTTTTGTTATGCACATACTAAATTTAATATAACAATTGTAACAATCAGTTTATTTGCAATGCTGCCCGAAGGATAAACAACTGTGTTGGGGAACGAAATCAAAAGTATTTTATTCAGTTTTTGGTGTATGTCGGACTGTTGGCCGTGTACGCACTATGCTTGGTGATAACATCATGGATTTTAGAATGTTCTCGATGCAGCAATGACATAATTATCAAACAAAGTCGCATGTATGTGTTATTCACATGTTTTACTATCGTTCGAGATAAGTTACTATTCTAATTATCATCTCTATTCAATTTTAATTGAAAGACAAAGCAATAGTAAATTGTAGACAAAGAACAGAAGAATTAAAAATTTTTTGCATTTAAAATAAATAGATAGAAATGATAGAGGAGCAAAGGGGATTAATCAAGAGGTTTTTTTCTACAGCTTACACTGTGTTATATTGGTATTGGAATCGGCACTGTTTGGCATGTTTGTCATTGCAATGCTGGTAGATCAGTTTCAAGGTATCCTGGGAGAAGAAAACGCGACGGAATATATGCAGAATAATCATCATTATAAAAGAAAAAGTTCGCGTACATTAGTGTTACTCTCTCAGGTCTGCGGTAAGAGTCATCCAATTTTATGGATGTTCCCTTGCCAGAACCCGCCGCGTTATACTTTTCGAAAGGATGCGTACCTGATAGATCACGAGGTTTAGGTATATTTGGGAGTGACTGCTTCTCGAATGACATCGCTTTGTCATAGATACAATTTTATATGTTTAAAGGTATTTAATCGTACAACAATATCTAGAAGATGGAGATGGAAAACGTATATATCATAATTATTTATTACATGAAATACAATGTGGATGAAAACGTTTCATTACCTGAAACTAGATTGTTTATACATATATATTTTTATTTACTTTGTAATTGAAGAAATGTTTTATGTTAAGTTATTAAAGGAAAGGGGATAATGCAGGTTGAAACATTTTGAAGCTCAAATTTTATGTCGTTGTTGAATATTCAGCACTAATCGTAAATGAATTGTTATATTTTTCGTATTAATTTCTACGTAATTCCATTATATTCAATAAGTGAAGTTAATACTCATGGAATTAAAATTAATTACTGTATTCTTATTCAATTTGCTATCGGCGGATGAATATTCAGCAAGGTCGTAGCATATGCATGCAGACAAATTGTTGAAGATATTTTTCCTAATACTTTTTTATACACATACGTACGTTTTTATATCATTTGGCGAAGTATTCAGATATGTATGAAATTCAATACTAGTCTCGACCCTCCAAAAGTATTGATAAAATTCTGTGCGGAATGTATTTTTTTTACTATACATATATGTATTCATTATATAAAATATCCTATACAACAAAGTATTATACTATGAAAAGAGAGCAAAAGATTTTTATTTTCTTTAAAACTGGTTTTTATTTAAGTTACAAATTAGGTATTAAAGGCAAGCAGCCATTAAACCAGCAACATTTTCGAAATCGATTTTCTCTGTAATATTTTTCGTTTTAATATTCTCATCCTGGCTGGCGATAAAAATAATGGATTTGCTTTCTTCCTTCCATCCATACTTTTTTACCCAATGTCTCAATGTGGTATCTAAAATAAATTGTTTTACATTATAAATATATGTATACACGTTCTAAGATGATTTAACAAATCGTACTTAACTCACGAATATATACGTAAAATGTTTTACTTTATAGATTGTTAAATCATCTTAAAACATTATTTATTATTAAAGGACAATTTATAATTTTGATATAATATTCTTGTAAATATCTTTTTATAATTTACTCTCTCGAAATATGTATAGAATGTAAAAATTACCATCGACACCTCCGAGGAGTTGTGCTAACAGATTTCTGTCTATTGTTTGGAATGTGATTCCTACTACGTGGCAAACGAATTTTCTTATAGAGTCTTGAAATCCCACGATCTTGTCGCAAAGATCAGACATGGAAAGAACTCTGTCCCAGAAATGCTGGAAGTCACACTGTTCCAAAATGTCTCCTAAATACATGATTTGATTGATAGGACTTTCCTGCATCTGTAAAGCATTTTTAATTTATTATGTTATTTATACTAAAAATATGAAATGTATGCTTCCTATGAAACATTGTTTTTCTATGTATCATTATTGTATACCGTTCTTTCTTCTGTTATACTGAATATTTCTGTCACAAATAAATATATGTATTTATAAAAATATAATATATATATTTATATATTACACGTTTATGACAAATGACTTACCTTTCGTTCATTGAGGAGACACTTGCAGAGAACAAAGTCTGTATGTGGAAGATTTGTCAATGCTTTCAATAGTATTTGACAAGTGATGTCCATATTAAAGTTTTGTGGAATTAGTTGATACATTTTCAAAACAGCTAAATTGGCTTCCAGGTCATATGCATTTTCTCTTGATTGTATCTCAACATATTTTTCCAAAGTTGCCAAGTGTTCTGGATTGTATCTGAAATGTATTTCATTCACAAAAATGTACAAGCGTCCACACATTACGTTTAACCTATCCAAAGGAGGAACGAATTGAATTGAACAGGAACAGTTCATACCTTTCAATGCCTTTTAGCATTTCAGCTACGGTTTGACGCATTGCTTCAGCCATTATTTTTGAACAAGTGCTGTAATTAAATATCAGAATATTTTTCAATTTCGGGAACTTGTTTGGTTAGAAAATACACGCCAGCAACAGATGAGCAGAGTCTGACAGTGCTGCCAAATTTTTATATATCATTATCATTTAATTAATACCAACATGTATGTACAAATTTTTCAAAGAAGTAAATTCGAACTTTTCTTCTTCTGACGTATTCTATGTAAAATAATTAAGAAATATTTGTCCAGACTTACAGATAATATATGTATATTGAAACGAATATATTATTTCGTGACTTAACAATTAAATGTTTATTGTACAACATATTCGAAAGAACAGTTTTATTATAAAGTATTAGTCTTTTCTAAGATTTTTCGGTAAATTCTTAACGATTGATGTCATCAGTATTTATTCATTGTTATATATAATGCAACCTTGTTTCCGATTTTTATAATGTATTATTAATCTTCACTGCTTTTTTGCCTTAATTATTGTTGTTTTATATGTTCTTATAGAATGCATATTTTAAAGTTCTGTCGTGTTTAGTATTTTACAAGAATACTGATACGCATAAAATGTCCTTCTTATATACTAGCGATGTGTCCAAATGATTAAAATCGGAAATAGAAAAATGGAAAATTTAAAAAAAAACTCAATTCTATACAGGATTGTATATGTTATTTTTACTGGAAGCTGGAATCAATGAATTCTCGAACCGAAAGTGGTTTCATTCGTAAGGGAAAAAAAATGTGGCCAGCAAAGCAATTCTTAACGCGGTTCCCGCGCCACTTCCCGTACATCCTCTGGTCATTGGGGATGCTCCCCTCTGCGAGCTATCCGTTAACGAGCAATCAAACCACGTGCGCGCGAGCGCACGGTAGGTAGAAAAATTGAGTTATGCTAAAAATTTCTTGTTTTGCGAAAAAAACTTTTTCTATGCCTGAAACAACGCATCAAATACTTTTCGCGTAATCAAAGATATGGGCAACGAATCGTCTCTACTCTTTTAGAGAATATTTTCCACAAGTGTTAAATCTACTCTGTTACACTTATAATGAACTAGGAAATTGTATTGAAATACTGTTTTACTTTAATTTATGTATCGATTTCATTTCGTATATCAAAAATTGGTGTTTCTATCTATAATGGATGCTTCGGGATTTGTGTGAGTTAATGTCGATCATCCTGATGATCTATATTACGGAGTGTACCCAGAACGGATGTAACGATAGATCGGTGTCACGTGAACCCTCCGGATATACTAGCTTCCTAGTCTTGCTCACCTACTTTATCGCTCTCTTCCATTTCATCGGAAAGTGCATAAACTTACTTAGGGACTGACTAACGAAAGGAATAATTTCCCAATGGATGATAATAACAATCAGAAAAATCTGTTACCTGTATCTGTAAACTATAAAGGGTGAGGTATCTAACTTGACCACCTCGAATAACTTCTACAGTACGCGTTGTGCAAGAAATTGTTTCTACAAAGATTAAATGGTATTAATAGGCAAATCATACGATTAGATTGCGAACGTTTATGCACTTATGGGAATTTTCAATAATTTATAGAAGCACGATATGCAGTATATAAAGGAGTAAAAAGTATCTAAAATAAAATACAATGTGCGGTATTCATGGTCGTTACTTATTTTTAATTTTTACTTATTTTTTTTATAAGCATTTGCTTAAGTCGATCTTAAAAATAACGACTATGGATATCGTCAAATTTATTATATTTGGATTTTTGTAAATGGAATGTCCTGTTTTTTTACTGTATTATAGTTTAATAATCCCCAAGTAGGAAAATGTTGTATGTCCTACAGTTAATAATTAACGAGATATTGAAGAAAGTTTGATCGGCATAAGATCGCGTTGGAAGATCATCACTGACTTTGCGCAAAAATATTTATTAACATATTACGCAATTTGATGCTGTCGTCCCTGATTTCCTTGATGGAGTTACTGATAAATACGGTGATAAAAATGTTATAAGATCTAAAATTGCTCTTGTTGAACATTTTAATCTTTCCTAAATGCTAGATGTGTTTTCGACACTAGAACTACTGAAGTTTTTTATATGTTCATTCAAAACCAGTAATTCCGACTGTTTTGGTAGTTTTAGTATTAAATGTCAAGCCAGATGCCTCACCCTGTGCAGTGAAAAAGATTTGTGCTTTTCTGTTTCATTTTAAAGATTCAAAGGAAATTGAAATGATGCAGACCATTATAGGAAAATCATGAGCGGATAAAAAGAAAATATGGACCGCGCGCGCGTATGTATCGGAACAGTGAAGTGTATGGCATCGTCGAGGTAGCCGTCAACCTGATGATGATATATTGTTGCGATCTTGGTGACCCTCTTTCTCCTTGTTTTCCTCGTTCCCCTCTCGCTCCGTGCGCGGGTACCAGCGAGCGAGCGAGCGAGCGAGCGCGCGCGGAATAAACGCGTGACACCGATGTATGCAAACGGCAAGGGTGGACCGGGGGAAAAAAAGGAAAAGGGGGATCCCTCAGTATTTCGTACCCCCGATATTTCAGCTAGTCCGTCGTCGAAAGCGAACACCCGATTCCAGTTCTGAGCGGACTGGCCGAGCACTCGCATCGTCCCTCGGACCGAGCACCGCTTCACTCAGAGTATCAGCCGTCGCCGCAGGCAGAAGTGAAAAAGTTGACAGAAAAATAGGAGGCGAGGTAGCAGCCACTCGGCGATCGCACGCGTGTTCATCGTTCATGTAGATCGTGTCCGGTGATCGATGGTCGTAACACTGGAACCGGCAGGATCGGGAGAGTCCGTCAGCTCTTGATCGTAGAGCACGTATACCATTTTCCCCGGGTCCGACGTGTGCCACGCTATTTTCCTTCGAGGTCTCGCTTCAGCCTGGAAATGACAGCGCCGAATCAACCCGGTCGAATCGTCGCGTGAAGAAATACCAAGAGTGTGCAGTGCAGTGCATACGAGATATTCGATTCTTGCGGAAGTTAAATCTCGCCCGGTAGTTTCTTCATTTTTATCACTCCTCCCGTACTGTCCGAAAACTTGTTGACGAGAGGGCACCGTGACTGAGGGAAGCGGAAAATTCGAGCGGCTGATAAAGTGACGTGAAATTGATTAATCGGTCCATCGTTAGGTTTGTATAAAACTGCTTTAGTTTGCGAATTAACTGATCGAGAGGAGACGCTGGGAGACGGTTCGAGGAGCTGTTGACACGTGCGTTCTCCTTCGCAAAATTCTAAATGGGAGGATCGTAGGGAAAAGCAATGGTAGAGAAGCGAAAAATTCAAGATCACAGCAATGTCGGTTATGCGGAACAACGCATTCTCGGTTAATTAGAATATAGCTGTTTTTTATGAGCGTGGAAGAGGAAGAGGGAGCCGGGCAATAGATCGGCCGTGAAGGGGCCAGGAAAGGATGAGCTTTGGGGGAACGCGCGCGGACTTGGATATTCATTACAGGGTATCCCGGCCGGACATTCGTATTTAACTGCACCGCGTCGATGCTACTTTTACGCCTTAACTCTTTCTTACTCATCTTGACTTTACATACACTGAGTCCCGTCCATCGTTCTTCCTCTAACTTCTTCTCGCAATGGGAAATCAGTTGTAGAAACTTTAACATTAATATTAAACCTACCACTACCTAAATTCACTCAAACTTTTCTACGACCACCGTTCATTTTTAATTTTCAAGTTTATCATTGATATTGTATAAAAACGTGTCGTCATTTTATGAAGGTTGCTCATTTATTAATTCATTCAATAATTGACTATTGTTTTGTTGTCATTAAATTCGACTATTGTTTAATTATAAAAACAGTAGCTTTTTTAAGGTAATTTTGACTACGGTAAGAGCAGGTCTACAGAAGTCGTCGGTGGGTTTAGTGTTATCATTGTTAACGTTGTAACACCTGTCATTGGTCTCGATTCCAAAATCAGAGTCCAAATTCCTCTCCATTCCCAGTCAACTGGTATCCTTGAATTTTGCCAGCTAATCGCTTCCCGCAGATTTTCCACGTGACGAAACGCGAAGCGCATCCGTTCCCGGAAAAGGAACTCGATCACGGCCGTTTTCAGTAAATTGCGTCCTCCCAGAGAACCATGACAAAAATCTTTAACATTCGATAGTTCGTGATCTGCTCTTAGACGAGTTTGACAAACGCTTAGTAAAGAAAAATATGATACGATAAAACTGATACGAGAAGTGAGAAAAATAAATAAATAAAACATAGATATGATAAAACTGCGGTATGTATCATTGTCGACAGAAGCGTTGTTATGTCTCCGCGATAGTTCCGTGGCCAGCAAAGGAATACGCGAGAGAGATCATCGAGAGCGCAGATACCTTTTCACGGTCAACGGAAGCAATCGAGCAAAATGACAGAAGCGTCGAGAGAGCCGGAACTCGCGGATCCCGAAAATCCTGACAAAACGACGTTGAACTTGACGTCCTCCTCTAATAAGAAACCATTGCCAGACCGCGGTACATGGAGTACTAAGTTAGATTTCATCCTAAGCGTGGTAATTATTTTCAAATTAATTCCCTCGTTCACGTCGATTCATCGATTCAATATTATTAATTGAATTCTATTCGAAGGTGGGTCTAGCAATCGGTTTGGGAAATGTCTGGAGATTTCCGTATCTCTGTTATAAAAACGGCGGAGGCGCTTTCTTAATTCCGTACTTCTTGACGCTGGTTCTCGCTGGGATACCAATGTTCTTCATGGAACTGGCTCTCGGTCAGATGCTCACTGTCGGTGGTCTCGGCGTTTTCAAAATTGCGCCCCTTTTCAAAGGTATCGGGTACGCCGCCGCCGTTATGTCCTGTTGGATGAACGTTTATTACATCGTTATCCTCGCATGGGCGATCTTCTACTTCTTCATGTCCATGCGAAGCGGTCAGTTGTACTTCGCGTCGTATTTAAACGGAATATAATTAAATCATTTTGTAAACGTATTAATTTTGTACGTTCAACCAGAATTACCATGGGGTAGCTGCAATAATTACTGGAATACAAAGAGTTGCGTGAACCCTTACGACAGAGATTCGTTGCTGTGTTGGAACACTAATGTCCATCATAATGTCGTTAAAGTATGTACCGTGAACGGCGTCAACATGACGATTAACGAGCTCACCGACCCTGTCAAAGAATTTTGGGAGTAAGTTTAATTAAACTGTTCTAATTGCCCTAAGAATGTAAGATAAGATTTATTATAGTCTTTGCTTGCCGGCTACAAAATGAAGATTGATACAAAATTTAACACCCGCACATATACATCCACAATATCCTCGCTGTATACTGTAAATTGTTTACATTTATTTACTTGGATTTATTTACTGTACATTCTGCTCTTATTCTCTATGCTCTTTCTTTTTTCTTTCTAGTTTTCTTAATCGGTTTATTATCGCTTTATTATGTCTTCCCTTACGTTCTAATCTTATATTATCACTCTCTGTTCCTTTATATTTCTCTATTCAGTGTTTTATAGTTCCAAAATCCTCCTTACGTATTATCTATACTCTGTTCCTCACTCTTCCAGTACTTATCAGTATCTTCTACATTTCCACATTTAATTCTCATAGCCAATTTCTGACATTCCTGTTTCCCATCTCCATCCAAAAATTGAGGCAACTTCTTCTTTGCTGACTGCCATCACTATGTAATCAGGTGTAATCCAAGCATGTGATGTAATCTTAAGGATATATTTGACCGCATAAAATGGATATTTCTTAGACGCCGAGCGCTTCAGATCAGCGAGGGCGTGGAGTACGTAGGACATATTCGATGGGAACTGGCCGGTACCCTTCTACTGGTTTGGATCGTCTGTTACTTCTGCATTTGGAAAGGTGTCAAGTGGACTGGGAAAGTAGTATATTTCACCTCCTTATTCCCTTACGTCTTGTTGACGATACTTCTGATTCGCGGGATCACTTTACCCGGAGCCATGGAAGGCATTCGATTTTACATCAGTCCGAATCTTTCGAAACTAAAAGAATCGGAGGTAAACGAAGATCGTAACGATTACACCTTTTATTAATGATCATTCATGTTCAATAATTAAATCGACTTTACAGGTATGGATAGACGCGGTCACGCAAATTTTCTTCTCGTACGGTCTGGGCTTGGGCACGCTGGTGGCTCTCGGTAGTTACAACAAATTCACGAACAACGTTTACAAAGACGCCCTTATTGTTTGCTCGGTGAACTCCTCCACGAGCATGTTCGCCGGCTTCGTCATATTTTCCGTGGTAGGTTTCATGGCCCACGAGCAACAGAAGCCCGTCGCAGAGGTTGCCGCTTCTGGCCCGGGATTAGCTTTCCTCGCGTATCCCTCCGCGGTTCTTCAACTTCCCGGAGCGCCTATCTGGTCCTGTCTCTTCTTCTTTATGCTTCTCCTAATAGGTTTAGATTCACAGTTTTGCACTATGGAAGGCTTTGTCACTGCCATGGTAAGTAATTCATACATAATCGAAATGGCTGTACATTTCATAAACTGTTCTAATCTTTTTTTATCGTTTTAAAGGTGGACGAGTGGCCGCAGTTACTTCGGCGGCGTAAGGAACTCTTTATCGCGGTCGTTTGCGTACTCTCTTATATCATTGGTTTGTCTTGTATCTCACAAGGCGGCATGTACGTCTTCCAAATCTTGGATTCGTACGCAGTTTCTGGATTCTGCCTCCTTTTCTTGATTTTCTTCGAATGCATTTCAATCAGCTGGGCCTTCGGCGCCAACCGATTTTACGACGGTCTCAGAGACATGATAGGATACTATCCGCTTATGTGGTGGAAGTTCTGCTGGACGGTCACCACCCCCATGATTTGCATCGTAAGTAAATTTTTAATAGTTCACAAATAAATTCTTTGTTATGAATGGAAATATACCTGATTCTCCTTTCACACAATGAAACCATACTGAATTTAAAAATAACGTGGAGAGAAAAAGATCATGCAAATATTGATTAGTAGAATTTTTAATTAATCGTGTTAATGAAAACTGCGAAATTTTTAAATCGTATTAAAAAATGCCGTGTGAAAGGAGGGTCTGTTTGTGTTTCCAATAGTTTCCATTATATTTCTTGTGCAAGTTTCCATTATATTTATTTTTTCTTTAATCGATATTTATACCTCTCTAGTCTAAATTAACATTCTTATTTTTCACATCATCATAATATTTCCTTTTGCAGGGTGTTTTCATCTTTAATCTCGTACAGTGGACACCTATAAAATATTTAGACTACGAATATCCATGGTGGTCGCACGTGCTTGGCTGGATGACCGCTTTATCCTCGATGCTTTGCATACCTGGTTACATGATTTATGCTTGGATGAGAACACCAGGGGATAGGTCTACGGTAAGTAATATATGTATATTTATTGTACCCCTTTAACACAATGTATGCGGGTATATTGAGTCGCGGTCAAGTGACAGATCGCAAAAGACGTATGAGTAGGTAACCCGGCAACAATACGTTAAGCTTCTTCAGAAATTGCCTCACTCGTAATAAGAATCTAATGATTTTTTTTCCGTTTAGAAATTCAAGCTTTTAGTACGAATAGAGGACGACGTGACGAGTCTACGGATGAAGATGGGTCAGCCGTCGGTCGAACTGACCTCGCTTTAACTGCCACGAATCCATTACAATTCCCCAAGGGATTTACTGTTCTAATTGTTATCAATTTTTGACTATGATTAATTCAAAGATGATCATTTATAATGTTATCACTAAGACAGCGGATTTTATGTATTTATAAGAAAGTGGGATGCGCAAAAATTTTTAATTCTACGTGTAATGTACACAACTATACAAAATATCAAAAGATTAATGCTCGCTTCAATGTCCTAATAACAAAATAAGTGTTTATCTGAAACGCATTTTTTAAAATGACACTATAAATGTTTTAGTTTTTGCATAAACATCCGCTGTCTAGTTATCACTTTCGGGTATCTTTTTGTAACATTAATTTCTTCGTTGGTTCGAGAAGAACTTTTATTGTGTTCCTGTTTATAAAAGAAATTTGTCATACTGTTTAAATTTACTTTTTTAATGATTTAGATCAGGACTGACGAACCGACGACTCGCGACGGCTCCACTTGCTCTTTGTGTCTTCTTCTTCTGTGTCTGTTTACTATTCAGTATCTATACTATAAGACTATTCAAAAAGCTCGGGTCGTCTGGTCCGATTTTAAAACACTTATTCAATTTTAAATAATACATGTTCAGGTTTACTCTTAATTACATATCTTTTCTTTGACTATATCTTATCGCTTTTAAACTAATGTTTTGTTCTTCTCTAACAAGAGGAACACTAAGGAGTTAGCAACTAAGTCCTAAGAACTGTTCCTTAATTCTTGACCCTCTTTCACCTCACCAAGTTTTAACGAAATCGAAGGCGGTCAGATGTGAGATTTCCCTTATAAGCGGAGAATCGTCTGACTCGTAGTGGAGTAATCGTGGCTACCGGCGAGAAGATGTTCGCCACTCCTGATTTAGATAATGTAATTATTAGATTCCTATCGGAAGGTATCTTCCACGAAACTCGAGGCGACTAAAGTGTTCAGAAATTGCGTTTAGTCTTAGTTTAAGTTTATTTAATAGAATAATTTATCCAATAATAAGTACAAGAAATTCTCGGCGAACATGAATAGTCGGCAATAACATTTTGCTTTATTCACGTTACTTATCTCTGTCGAAAAGTAATTCTGAAATTGGAAATTCTAATAGATATTTATTATAACGTGTAAGTACTTCATCGTAAGCAGTTATTAAAAGATTCGAAACTATTCATGTAAGCCTAATTGCAGATTTAGCTATTAACTTATTTTAGTGGATAGCGGGGCGTGTACCATAAATGAAAGCAAGTGCACATCTTGTATTTAGATATAATTATAATGTACACATATACATATCTACGCTGCCATAATAATTATTATATTTTACTGTTTAGTTCGGTGCTAAACCGATGTACAGGATATCCTAGAAAAAGTGTTTGAGTCGAGAAGGGGCGATTCCGGAGGATCTCCACTTTGCACTTTGCAAACGGAAATTGTTGTGCAGAATCACCCTCCGAATCTACCATTTTCGGCTCTAACGCTTCTTCCGGGATACCCTGTACTTTGTTGCGATTAATCCAAAAAGTATTTCCGTTTTACGCGTAATTTTATAGGAAATGTGCGTGTTAATTTTATTTTAATGATAAGTTGTAGATTTCCATAGAGAAGTATGGTAGTGGATTGGATATCCATCGCATTATTATAGTATACAGGCAAATCAATGACTATAGACATATCGAAAAATTGTTTTAAACGAGCCCTATCGTATATTATTTGAAAATTACTATTGTAACTATAACTATTTGGGTATAGCCGTAGCGTATTTGTTGTAGCTTGTATGTTACGTGTGTTTTTCTCGTAGAAGTAAATTAATACGGAATAAGAAGGAGGCACGGTGGAAAAGAAGGAAGCAATATGTATAGCAAAGTTTTTGGTAAATAAAGATAACTATTAAATATCTGTTCTTGAACACTGGGGGATATGAAATATAGCGAGGAGACCCACGTTTTCTTTTTTTATAGTAATTATTAAAAGAAAAATACTGACCATCACAATACCAGAGAGAGGATTTTTCTCTGATGACATCGACCAATATTGACTGAAGATTTTGCAAATACTACAGATGGCAGCACGGTAACGAATAGAAAATTAATTAGAATACATACCGAACCAAAATGGTATTAGAAGTTGAAATAGTTGGAAACAGAAAGTTGTTTTTCGAAGTGGATTAAAGCGATGACATATTTTTCTGTGTACATAACAAGAGGTAGTTAAGCGTGAGAAGTAGAGTTATTTCTAACGAATCTGTGTTGCCAAATTACATAATAATTTCATTAACTAAATTAAATAAGTAACATGTTAGAAAAAACCGAAGAGAACGTCGACAGTGATAGCAATCTTGTCAGGATAAAGTTGATAGCTGATAAAAGGACAATTTTGGAAAAGCAATTTCTTCAGGTATTGTTGTATTGATGTATTTAACATTTTAAGGTTATTTCTTGTAATTAAACATTACTAGAAATCGACTGAAATGCAGCTCTCCTTTCCCTTAAATTTATATTTAAGATTGACTGCATGGGACCATATTTTCAATCAACTGCATGCTGTATACTGCAGTTAAGCTGACATAATTAATTTTAAGGTACAAGAAGAAATAAAAATATGCTTCGCTCAGTTAGCACAAACGGTGCGTGCCAGGGAGAAACAACTTTTACGACAATCGGAAGCGATTTATAGGCAACAATTATCTTTGGCGTTGTCCAGTCATGAAATTCTCTCTCCATCTATAGTGGTATTAAATGATAGAGACATCTTGGATGAACAAATTAAACAATTTGGAAGGATAGAATTGACAGGATCTAACACGACGGTGATAACTGATTTGGAACCATATAAGATCGAAGAATATCAAGACATAAATAAGGATCACGTATCTTTCGACAAGTCTATCAAAAATTCCGAGACTCTTCCCAATACAAAAAATGAATTTCCTATTATAACAGAAGATGAACAAATAGATAATATTCCTATAGTATTAAAGTCGTCTAGTGTAACAAATTTAACAGGAACTTCTGCTTACACTACTAGTTCACACGAAACAAGTTTTGAAAAAGATGAACATTGTTTAAAATTAAAAGACACATCTAAAACTGGGAAATTCGAGAAGGTCGAGGATTGCGTTTCCCAAGTCACTGATTTAAACGAACAAGAGAGTACGAAGAATTGTCGAAATTCAGGCAAAAATATCATAGAGGATCAACAGAATCATGGACACACGGAGCAAGTACAACAGTGGTTAGATCAGATACTTCTCGAGACGGAGATAGAACCGACCATTCACGAGATGGAAAAGTTACCTGAAATATCAGAAGCTTATGTCTGTACCAAGTTCCAAGTAGAAACATAAATGATTAGATTTATTATATAAAAAACAAGTTGCTCATCCCCGTACTCTGTAATTTTGCGTTTTGTAACTTTACAAAACCAGGAGTAATATTTTTTATAATTACGCTATTTATATTTACTTTATATTATTTATTTATATACTAATATTAACGAATTACAAAATGTTCTTAGTAGCTATAATGTAATAATATCATTTATCAGTAAGCAGGTTTGTACTTTTATTAATACTGAAGAACTACTAATCGTAAACATTTTTTAATTATCAATCACATATCTAAGGTAACTGAATAAAAAAGTATGTTACAAATATCTTACTTCGATGTCATAAACAATGATAATAAAATAACATAAAGTTCGTAACTACCAGAGAAGATTATTGATAAATTTCTAATTCTAATTTATATTCTGCTACTTACCAGTGATTGACAATTTTTAATTTATATCCTTTTTTTCGAGATACCGTCGTATTCATTCGTTCATAAAAAAAAAGATACAAATACATATAAAGTTATTTCCAAGTTACAAACAACTAATAAAGAATGAAATCAGTTTCTTTTTAATTAGACGTTGTCGTACCGTATACATCCCTCAACCTTTTATTATAGTTCATACATTTTACGCCTCATGCTGTGTTTCATGCTCCTATGTACATTTACAAAGTATGATTACTCGTTTAGTAAATGGGAATAAATGGAACGTGAATTTAGAACATGTTTCGAGATACGTGTTAATAAAAGTGTTTTGTGTGTACATATGTATGTGATTAAGAGTTCGTATTGTACTCTAACTCCGCTTTATTAAAGTTATTTGTACAGCGACGTTCGTTTGTATTGTTCTTCGTGATTTTATCCGTAATAAACAGTTGGGTGAATTAGTAATTTGATTATTGACAGTTAGTAGAAAAAATAATTGAGCACCTTTGTATAGTTTATTAGTTACTAAACAGTTAAATAAATACAGATAACCACCACCTTCTGTATGTACAGACGCCAGCGTAGTAGTGTCGTTCGGGAGTTCATGTCCAACAATGGGAGGATCATTTCTTTCAGGAACCAATTTGTTAACGAAAAATCTGCGACTAGGGTCCAATCTGGGTCATAAGGGAGAAAAAGGTTTGTAGATATACCTCCCTTGGAACCTCAGTATAATACGGTTAATCCATCATTTTAACGATACTTGGTAGAAGACCCAATCTTCGTAGAATGACGGTACGAAAGCGCTGTCTTTGGTGAAAGTCACAGGTACACAGAGCTGGGAGAGAACCTGTTCGTACATTTCTAATGATTGTGGACAGGATGCTCCATTTCCCTGTAAAACAAAGCGCGACGATAATTATATATAAAAATTCAAGTTCCGTAGCAATCCGTATCGTTCGAAATATGTGATACGTGTATTCTTAAAAATTTATCAGACGATACATACGTGAGTCATGTATTTCCCTGTAGACTTTAGAACCTTCATCGAGGAGTTCAAGATTAATCTAATGAAATCCCACGCATCTCCGTGCGGAGTGGGGCTAATTGGGATGTCCGTAAGGTCACCGAAGACGTAATCGAATTGTCGGCCTTCTTCGATCATGTGTGCCAACGTCTTTGCACAGTCTTCAACGATGATCTATAAATTTAAAATAAAACATATTGAACTTCGCTTGTAAACGGTGAAATGATTAATGCCTTCGTAAAACTCACTTCATAATTATCTCCCTTTCTTTTATCCAAACAATCTCCACATATGCTTCTCATATACTGGCTGCAAGCTTTTATCACAACGTCATCAATCTACAATAAACAATTTTTTTTTATTAAAATTATTGACCGATGTAAAAATTTTGTTCGCAAGTTTTACGTACTTCCAACATAGTGACAGATTTTGGTTTCTCCTTAAGCAGCTCCCAAAGTAAACCACCGTCACCTCCACCCAAAATAACTATTTCCTTTCCTGTATAACTTTCTTTCCCACGTTGCATCAAAGTTTCTGTGTATACCAGATCGGCCTCGGAAATATCTAAAAATCGTCAAGTTTAAATTGAGGACGTTCTAGTCGAGTGACTTTAAACTCGTTTAAAGACGTCACTTGCTTACTTTGTAATTCGTCAAGAACCAACAGATTCCCTAGCGATTTCGAATGAACGATTTGCACTTTTTGATAAGGAGAGCGTGCTTCGAAGACCAATCTATCTATGTCATATTCAAGCAGTCTGTCATCTTAAAATAGAAAAGAGGAAGAAACAATTTTTATTTAGACATTGAAAGTTCACCGAACTCGTTAAGTAGCTGCATGAGAAAGCGTTTAATAGATGCATGCGATGCAAAGCATAAATCTGTAGGAAGGTAAAATAATTCTTATGCCTAAAATAAAATTAACAATGAAAATATTGGTAATGTAGGAGCTTAACATACGGATTGCTAAATCTATCATGTTATTTATGTCTATTAATCTTACGTGTAATTCTGATATAGCATATACATAAATTATAGAGAAATAAATAATACCATTCGCTTAAAATGTAAAAATAATAAGTACCGCAGAATTAATTATAGCTCTTACAACCATTGAAGATGACGAGACTATCTCGCATACACAGTTTCTTATGTATTCATCGATTTACAACTTATTATACTTAGATACATACTGCAACAAAAGACTGATCAAGCGAAAAATATGAAAGTAGTTTACATGGTGTCCTTTAATCGAAAAAGAGATATAGTGAAATCAAATGTTATTAAAAATTGAAGCAAAAATTGAGACGAATCATATACCGTTTCTTTGTTTTGAACAACGATGAAGCGATAAACCTTGACGCATCTTCCGCGCGACAAATAACGTAAATAATGTACATTAATAATATAATGTGTTACGCCGAAATCGAGAAGCACTTATGTATTGTTAACGGCGCATGATAATAGTGTTTCAATCCATTTTGCGGGTACAATAAATGTCCCCGGCTTTGTTACCGTAAACAGAATAATAAATAAAAAAACTCACCGGCGGTAGGAAAGTATCTGTCAAAAGGTCCGCCGCGTTTAATCGGTGAAAGCGAGTGCGAACGCGTAGAGGCTGCCGCCGCCTGCAACGCTGTCTCCAATTCTCTGGCCAACTAAAGGTGGCCGCGACAAGCGAACCCCGGACGAATAAAAAAAAACAGAAACTATCTTGTTAAACTAATCGCAACAGCTATCCTCTTTAGACGTGTCAATCAATAGCCATTCTCTTCGACGTCCCTTTTGCGGAAAAATTAAACAGAAACACCGTCTGGGCTGTGGCGGGGGGTAGGGACGGGGAAGCAAAAACGAAATAGAGTACACGTCAACCGGGAAAAAATCGTAACCGATCGGAAGGCACTGTTGGCATTTTCTTTTTCTCTTTAAGAGTGCAACAACGGAAACGATTCTCACGTTCTGTAAGGTGCTATAGAATAACTAAAAAATTAGGAACGAATTGGGGAAATGGTTTCTACCTGATAGTGTCAGATAGAGGTCATATATGGTTCCTCGCCTTACTGGTGGCAGGCGCTTGCTGCGTTGGCTGTTCAGAGCCATCGCAACGTCCGCTTCCAGGTATCGCCTCTGCTACAAGGTCCTCTTTGTTACGCGCATTTCTTCCGCAAATATAGGTAAAATTTTTTACTTATCTCTATTAATAGTATTCATCAGAAACGACGACCTCTTTACATTATTTTTATCTTGAGGCTTAGCGACGTGACAACGGCAAAAGGTCAGTAAATGAAAAATCGCGAATTGATTTCTTTTCTTTTCTCGTTTATACTTTTAAGATAGTTTCTTCGAAGCATATTTAGTGCAGCGATTTTTATGGCATGTATCATTAATTTATATGTAACAAAATGTACCTTGTAATGACCCCATGTTTGAGAAATACAAACGCTGATTTCACATTTGATATCCATGAGAGGCAACTAAATATTGTGAAATTTGCAACTAGGTATTGCAAAACGAATTTTGTTAATAACAGAGGATACTATACCTCGAAGTCCAATAGCGCTTCCTCTTCGTCTCTCTTATAATATTCAATGTTAATGGTAATTAATCCTTCGGTGTATCCCCGAACAGTGATTAGACTACCCTTGGGACCTGTGTACAGGA